CATGGCAGCAATTGTGAGGTTGGCCCAGGACTGGGCAGTGTTTCCTTCTGTTGTGTATAGGGTCGTTATGAGTCAGTACTGACTTGATAGCCCCTAACAACAACAGTTTTCTACGGTCTATCATCCTAGGAGCTGCTCCTTAAACTTCTTTACACCTTCTTGATTAAGACTAGTACATTGCGACTCTGAGTTTCTTTGGGCTCTCCTTCCTCATTGTATTGTCAGATCTGGAAGAAGTATGTCTTCACTACTTAAAATCACTGAGCCCATACTTACTGAAATTCCTGCCTCCTGCCTCCCACAGCCCATCTGAATAGTATTAGAAATAGCTAACATGTTTTGTTTCATTTTTCTTAAATGATTTATTGTGAATTATGTGATCGTTTACATGGGGGAACATTAGTTTTACATTCATTCTATCGTATATCATCTCATTCCTATGGTTACAATCCCCTCCATGCATCATCAACCAACCAAAGGGAATACCCTGCAATTCTACTCCCCATACCCCCTGGGTCTTCAGCACACAGTCCCTCTCTGTTTTTTAAGTCTTACTAGGTGCTAGGTATTATATTAGAAAAGTGACTAATTATCTGACTTTGATTCTGGAGCAAGATGGCAGAATAAGTAGATGCACTGAGCCAACCCTCCACAACAAGATATGGGAGACCAAACAGAACAGATACAGATGGTGATCCTGGAACCCTGATCATCAGAGGACAGGACAGAGAGGTGAATTTAGTGCCAACTAGAAGAGGAAGCAAAACAAGAGCAGTGAGAGAAAAGAAAAATGGGTGGACCGTGGGCTGGGTTGGTGTGGCGTGGCATGGTGCAGCCCATCATCTTGAACTACTGTGAACGACTGTTGAAATAGTGGCCTGCAGCCATCAGACATGACTGCAGGTTTATGCAGGGGGGTGCACTTCTCCCTTATTCCATGCCCTCTTGGTAGCTGGGAGTGTGGCCAGTCCCTACTCTTGCCAATCCATAGCCAGTAGCACCGCTTCCTGCACATTCTCTACTCTGCCTAGGACCTGGAGCCTGGCTTAGCACCTTCTTCTGGGGCCCGTGAACCCTTCTGGAACTACATTCCACAAACAGTGAACAGAGAATTAACTGAATTCACTCTTCTGGTCTCTGCCACATCCACCAGGAGACAGGTGGTGAATGCATGAGAGTACACCAACATACAATCACCAACTAAGTATAAATACAGCAACACTGCAGTGTCTGAGACAACAGGAAATTTCAGAGTGCCTCCAAAAAGTGATCAAAATACAGTCAGAAAAGATAACACCAGAAATGGTATCTGGTGTACCTGATAAAGAATTTAAAAGAATGCTTATAGGGCAACATCAAAGATTGTGAAAAACATCCAAAAAACTACAGATGAATTCAAGGAAAACACAGACAAAACTATGGAAAAATTCAGGAAACTGACAAATAATTGAAAAAATCGGAATGATACAAAAACAGCAATTAGCAAAAAGATAAACACTAAGACTTCAGTAATACATAACACACCAAAAGGGCAAAGATA